TTGGTGTAGGTAGGTGAGTATATAAAGAGACAGGACTATTGGTGTAGGTATGTAAGTATTTAAAGAGACAGGACCTATTGGTATAGGTAGGTGAGTATTAAAGAGACAGGACCTATTGGTGTAGGTAGGTGAGTATCTAAGGGACAAGACCTATTGGTAGAGGCCTGTGCGTATTTAAGGCCTTCCAGCTGGATTGGGTCCTGCAGGTCGTGGTGACATATGCTCACTCTCACATCCTGACGGTCCCTCTGCCAGCTGCCTTCTCTCTTGAACCCGGGGTGGACCAGGGATGCCCTGACCTTCACTTGGCAGACCAGGTGCTTGTGAGAAAAAAGAAAAAGGATTCTACAGAAAGGAACCTCCCAAGATGATCTGGCTGCAGACTCCTTGCGGGGCAGGGCACGGTGGGCAGTCACACCGCTGGCACAGAGCTTCTTAGGAAAAGGCTCACCGTAGCCTTCCGCCAGCCGTGCCCATTGTGTCTGCGTGCCTAGGTTAACACACCTGCCAGGCCCCCCTCAACCACCCTCTAGAGAGCACAGCCTGAACTACCGGGAATCCGCCCTGCCTTGCTTTGTCCCACCTCCGTGGCAATCTTCCTGAGTTCCCTCCCCGATCCCCAAGGCACAAAAGAAGCAGCAAACCCCGTTCCAGGAAGCGTCTTCTCATTCTGCTGAGGTCTTGCTTCCAGGTGTATCCTGTGTTTGGCTCCCATACATTTTTATACAAATTCTCTGCGGGTTTGGATGTTTGTTTCTTAGTTGTTGTTTTCTTATTTGATTTTTTAGAGAGAGAGGAAGGGAGGGGTTCGATTGAGAGGAACATCCATGTAGGAGCAAAACATCGATCAGCTGCCTCCTGCACGGACCCCCGCCAGGGACCAAACCCTTAACACACCCAGGTTATTGAACCAGCGACCCTTCGGTGCCTGGGAGGATGCCCACCCACCTGAGCCGCCCCGGGAGGGCTGCAGGTTTGGGGTTTTGATATCAGCCTGCTCCTTGAGCTCAAGTCTTGCACCTTTGAGCCTCCATGAAATCCCGCCGTGCAGGGGGAGGGGGTTTGTCGGGAACGCACAGCTCAGCCTCTGCTGCTTGCCTTGGAGATGGTGTGTGTGATGCAGGAGCTTGGCTGCTGTGGGAGAAAACACCTCAGGAAGGAAGCAGTGAGTTCGTGGCGCTCCTGCCTGCCCTTTGGGCCCGTAGATCCTGCTCTGGGCCTGGTTCACGTCTGTCCTCAGGGAGGCCCTCGGTCCCAGCGGTGCCGAGGAGTGTCTCTGTTTACCCTTCCCGGTCCAGCATCGCTCTCAGGCTGCTTCCTGGAGAACCCCAAGCACCAAGGCTGCGTCACAGCCCCGTGTCCTGGCCGCGGACTCTGAGGAGCTCACTCAGGGCTCCCCACAGACGTGTGTATGTGTGGTGGGGAGACTCTGGGGCCGAGACCAGGGCCTCTACTGAGGAATTTCAGGGGTGAGGTGGGAGCTGGGAGGGGGTTTAACCGGGGAATGTATAGGCATGAATGCCTAGTCCACAGACAAAGACAATGGTGTGGTGAAGGCCTGGGAGGGGCAGGGCGGGGTGGAGGGGATCATTGGAGAAAAACACAAAACAAAGGGTCATCTGCAATATAATACTTTCAACAGTAAAGATAAATAATGAAAAAAGACCCGGGCCTCTGTCTGTTCGTCAGTGTATTGGTCGGCTGTCAGTTCTGGACCTTCTGTCCACGTAGGTGGGGTCTTGCCCAGGTGGCCCTGCTGTCCGGGGTCCTGGGGGAGGGGGGGGGGAGTTGCCCAGGGGTGGGCGAGGCCTGGCCACTGTTCTCCTGTGTGGAGGGCATTTAATTCAATCCCCATGTGGGTAACTCCTTAATGCACCCGAGAAGATTACTCCTTTCTAAAAGCTCCTTTCCACTCTGCTGCCGTGCGTTTGAGGAATGGGCCATTATTACTCTCGGGTCGCCGGGCAGAGGGGGGGCGGGGTGCGGGGCAGAGGCTGGCCTGCAAGGGGCGGGGCCCCCACCCGTGTCCCTCCCATCGGTCCCGGGAACGGCAGTGGCGTTTTGTGTTGTGTGGCCACACTGACATGCGGGGATGGATCCGCTGGTTGTTTTAATTAGCGTTTCCCGCTGAGCGCCCAGGGGAGGCCCGGAACCGCTGGTAGGTGGGACGTGGTGTTTTGTGGAGTCTGAAGCCAGTGGGCTGGGAAGGCCTCTGCGGGTCTCTGTGCAGAGACATTCTGGCCGGAGGTGTCTCACGTTCAGTGACAGCACTCACCGCCACGCTGTGACGTCAGTGGGGGCTGTGGTCTTCGGAGTCTTGTATGCAGAAGCGTGAGCGCCTGTTTCCCTGTTTGTGTGTGTGTGTGTTTATTTGGTTTTAATTGAGCGCCTGAGCGGTCTCTGTATGGAGGAATGGGTGGGGCAGTAGGAAGCTCCTTGCAGAATAGGATCAAAGAAAACCATCTCTCTCTTGCTTGGGTTGGGCACTAATAAAGTGGTCAGTTTTCTTGGGAAAACTGTTTGCTTTGTAGAGAAGATCGTGAAGAAAGAACAGACATCCGCCAGTCAGTTGTCTGGTTTTTTTACGTTCCTCAGGAGCAAGGCCTGGCCTGCTGAGGCAGGGGACAGCGAATGCTCTGTGTCCTCTCGTTTGTGTGTGTGATGCCTCAGGCACCAAAATATGTTCCTCCACCCTGGCCGGTTTGGCTCAGTGGATAGAGCATCGGCCTGTGGACTGAAGGGTCCCAGGTTCAATTCCACACAAGGGCATGTACCTTGGTTGCAGGCACATCCCCAGTAGGAGGTGTGCAGGAGGCAGCTGATGGATGTTTCTCTCTCGTCGATGTTTCTCTCTCTTTATCCCTCTCCCTTCCTCTCTGTAAAAAAAAAAAAAAATCAATAAAATATACTTTCAAAAAAATGTTCCTCCAACGAGGATTGTTTACAGAGCGTTTATTTTTAAAATGCAAAGATGACATTTCTTTCTTTTAAAAAAAAAAAATATTTTATTGATTTTTTACAGAGGAAGAGAGAGGGATAGAGAGTTAGAAACATCAATGAGAGAGAATCATCCATCAGCTGCCTCTTGCACAACCCCTATTGGGGATGTGCCCGCAACCAAGGTACGTGCCCTTGACCAGAATCGAACCCGGGACCCTTCAGTCCGAAGGCCGATGCTCTATCCACTGAGCCAAATCAGTTTTGGCAAAAAAGGCAATATTTCTTGTACAAACATTTCTCCTTCCAACCTCTGTGAATGCGGGAGATGCGATCACGTGTTGAAGATACTGCAACTAACTCATCCACATGGATTCGTCCTCTGAGAGCGACCTTGCAAGCGCGGGCGAAGAGAGGCTGGCAACTTGCTGCCGGTATTGGGAACAGGCAGGATTTCTCCCCAGATCTGTGCTACGGAGGCCTTTGTGAACTAGGCCCCAAGAAAGGAACTGTTTTGATAATCTTCCTATTTTCTAATAAATCCACCCGAGAATTAAAGTATTTTCTCTTTCTTCCCAAGTGACACTGTCCAGTGTGGGTCCGCAGTCCCCTTGGGAAGGCAGGCGTCCATCCTGTCCTGCCTTGCTCTCTGCCTCCTGATGACCCGGCTGTGGCCAGGCGCCCTGGTCACCTGCTAGCCTCCCTCCGTCCTCCCCACTCCCACTCCTCCCCGGTGTGCACACCCGGCCTGGGAGTCCTTCCACGGGGCTTGCCTGGCGTCCTCATTCTGGATCTGCTTCCACGGGGGATTCTGGGGCGGAAACTGGGCATTCCTCTGTCACCGTCATCCCTCTCACATGCTTTGTGATTTATGTCAGCAGTATGGCCTGGTGATTCCTGGTGGAATTATTTGTCTTCTTGAACGAGCTCACTGGATAATTCTATTTTTAAGTCTGTATAACCTCATAACTGTTTAAAGTTTCCTATGTTCTTTGAATTATTCCCACGGCGTTGAAAACCACGACAGGTTAAATTTGTTTACGTAGAAAAAAAATTTTTTCTTGCGTTCTGGATATATTTTTTAAGTGTTTTGCTTGTAGCATCTATAGCTTATTTTCTTCTGAAGGCTCGTTTTTTAGTGAGAGACGCTGGCTAACGGCTCTCGCTGGTATGGATGTGGGATTGTCTGGGGAATTAAAAGCCGGCGAGTGTGGAGAAATAGCACAGAGCAGAGAGAACTGGAGAGAACTATGTGTGGAGAGAACAGAGCTAGATTTGGGCAAGAAAGAGTTTAGCTCCTGAGAAATCCATCAGGAAGAAAGGATGTGAACTATTTTTTTCCAGTGTTCAGACTACTATGTAATAGAAAAGATGTGAATCTGGATATTTTCCCAAGTTTGAAACTCTGAATTCTTGTTCTTGTTGATCTTTCTCTCTCTCTTTTTTATTTTTATTTTTAAAAATATATTTTATTGATTTTTTTTACCGAGAGGAAGAGAGAGGGATAGAGAGTTAGAAACACCAATGAGAGAGAATCATCGATCGGCTGCCTCTTGCATACCCCCTACTGGGAATGTGCCCGCAACCAAAGTACATGCCCTTGACCGGAATCAAACCTGGGACCTTCCAGTCTGCAGACTGACGCTCTATCCACTGAGCCAAACCAGATTCAGCATCTCTCTTTTAAAATATATATATATATATATATATATATATATATATATATATATATATATATATATTTTTTTTATTGATTTTTTATTTTTATTTATTTATTTATTTTTACAGAGAGGAAGGGAACAGGATATAGAGTTAGAAGCATCGATGAGAGAGAAACATCGATCAACTGCCTCCTGCACATCCCCTACTGGAGATGTGCACACAACCAGGGTACATGCCCTTGACCGGAATCGAACCCGGGACTCTTCAGTCCACAGGCTGACACTCTATCCACTGAGCCAAACCAGTTAGGGTCAGATTCTCTCTCTCTCTCCCCCCCGCCCCCCCATCTTTCTCTCTCTCACACATAAAGTTACATTACAGTTGTCTTGTCCCTCCTCCAGGTGGTGTCTTGTCGCGTGGTGGGCAAGGCCATCCAGTTCCTGGTCACCTCGGGGCCCGCCGCGGCCGAGGACGCCGGGCGCCAGCAGTACGGCGTGCGGCTCGCCCCGCTGCACTTACAGGTGAGGTGGGTGGGTGGTGCGAGGCGTGGGAACAGTTCTCATGAGCCCGTGGATCAGCGTGGGCAGTCACAGGGCCGTGAATACCCGTGTTGTTATCTGTTGTCCTTCATTTAATAATTTCCCGGCAATCACCCTCCATTTTGTATCTGTAGGAAATAAAAAGCGCGTGTGAGATGTAAATGATATATGCACACTTACATATATACTTGCCTGTGCTGTGCATGTGTGTGTATATACTCACACATACTGTGTATACATATACACACATACAGGTATATACGTAATGAATTTTGAGGTTTCCCATCTGTAGAAACGGGAGGGATGGAATCGGTCAAGGACTTACATAATCAGGGGTGCTGGCGACAGGTGGATCGGGTAGATGGCGGGTGAGTGAGGAGAGTGGGTCTGTGTCAGACCAGCACTGGGACTCAGACATGTACTGCAGCTTGGAAAACAGCTTACGGGCTGGACTGGCCATTCCTCTTTTTTTTTTAAAAAGTCAGCTTCAAAAGACCCCCCTTTTCTGTTAAACTAGAGGCCCAGTGCACAGATTCATGCACCAATTCGGCCTGGCCTGCACCTTCTAGCAATCCGGGACCCCTCGGGGGAAGTCAGAGAGTTGGTTTCAGCCTGATCCCCACAGGCCAGGCTGAGGGACCCCACCAGTGCACAAATCTGTGCACCAGGCCTCTGGTATGCATGTAAGATCCTTGGTTAATCTCTCCCTATCTTCCCCTCTCTCCCTTCCCTCTGAGATTCCTCAATCTGTTCCATTTTTTCATGTCTGTGGTTCTCGCCCCCAATAGTAAATGTGCACCATAGCTACTGGCCGGTCGCTTAGGCTTTTATATATTACAGATGAGTATTGCATTGTTTTTAAGGTAATAGACCTTATTATAATAATTATAACAGACATATATAACTTTTTTATGATTTATACATAATTATACACAACAGTTACAGAGAGAGATATATATAATTATAATAGACTTAGTGACACGTCTGGATAGCTGAACTGTTACATAGCTGTGCCTCCGGCATTCAGCAGACGTTCAATGCCATTCCTGTTAGCGGTGTATAAAAGTTATAAGTGTCTGGGTCTGTTTTAGGGGCCCCTGCCGATTCAATCTGCATTTCCTCTCCCGTCCTGGTGGTTGATTGATCATTGGTGGGGGGGAGGGTGCAGCTGGACCTAAGTCATACAGGATTCTCAACCACAAGGGAAGATGATGCTCCATAAACTTTTCACGCAAAGACATGGTTTTGCGTCAGCAGGGAGAACACGATTTTCTGGGCACCGAAATAGCGGTTTTTCCCCGAAATCTAGCCCCTCCTCCCCCACAATAACACCCCTTTTCAAGTTGGGAGGTGAAGTGTTGGCTTCATGGACCTGTCGGATGTGAATGCCTCCTGCTGCCCCTTCGTGTTTTTGGGCAGCGTGCTGGAAAAGATCTCCAAAGGCGACATCTGACATACATTTCAGGACCGAGCCCAGCCAGGACCCCAAACACGAGTGGAGCAAATGTGGTTTCCAGGATGGGCTTCAGGTGTCCTTGGAGCAGCTCAGACGCAAGAGACACAAGTGTATCTCTGATCTCTCAGCACAGTCTCAAAGCAGCCCATGGGTGAGCCACACGCGGAGGCAGCTGCTAGAGACGGTCCATTCTTAATGCTCAGTCAGGCCTCCGCTTCTCCCTTATTTCTCAGATAAAGGCGCCTTGAGGGCCAGCAGCCGGCTCGCGGCTGCCCCTTACCCCGCCTGGTGGGGGTGACGCGGGGACCCGTGTCAGTGAGATGAACGTGCACTTGCTCTAAGTTACTGGGGAGGGCATCGTTTCTCTGACTCTTTTGCTCACGTGAGGCGAGAATCCGGAGCATTCAGAATACGGGCTGAAGCCCTCCTTCCTTCCCACTGGCAGGTGGTGGGGAGAAGGATGGAGAGGAGAGGAGCTGACCTTTTTGTCTCCGGCTGAGAAATGAAGGCCGGCGTATTAGTTTGCTACGGCTGCCGAAACCAACGACTCCCAACTTAGCGTAAACAGTGGGTTCTGTTACCATTCCGGGGGGGTCTGACGAAGGTGACCAGACGTCCCGCTTTTGGCGGGACAGTCCCAATTTTAACAATTTGTCTGGGACGCGGGACAAATTGTTAAAAATCGGGACTGTCCCGCCAGAAGCAGGACGTCTGGTCACCTTAGGTCTGACTCCAACACAGGCTGGAATCTAGGGTTGGGCGGGCTGCCTTCCTTTCTGGAAGTTCCTGGGGAGAATCTGTTTCCTGCTCCTTCTGGCAGATTCCAGCTCCTCAGGGCGATGGGACTGAGCCCCCGCCCCCTGCTGGCTGGCTGGCAGCCCCGGGCAGGTCCCAGCGTCTAAGGGCAGCCTCCTCCCTGGGCTGGGCATCACCCTCCACCCTCAGGTCACAGCTCTGGGGTCCGCTCTGCTCTCCTCTTCCCTTGTTGTGGTTCCTCTGGGCTCGCCCGGAGAACCTAGACCCATGGTTGGCACACTGCGGCTCGCGAGCCACATGCGGCTCTTTGGCCCCTTGTGTGTGGCTCTTCCACAAAACACCACGGCCTGGGCGAGTCTATGTTGAAAAAGTGGCGTTAGAAGAAGTTTAGGTTCGCTGAAACCGGTTTGGCTCAGTGGATAGAACGTCGGCCTGCGGACTGAAAGGTCCCGGGTTCAATTCCGGTCAAAGGCATGTACCTTGGCTGCAGGCACATCCCCAGTGGGGGGTGTGCAGGAGGCAGCTGATCAATGATTCTCTCTTATCGATGTTTCTAGCTCTCTATCCCTCTCCCTTTCTCTCTGTAAAAAAAATCAATGAAATATAATTAAAAAAAAAAAAAGGAAGTTTGGCTTTAAAAAATGTGGCTCTTAGAAGAAATGCCAATCATTGTCCTGTTGCTGTTTGGCTCTGTGGACTAATGAGTTTGCCGACCGCTGCCCTAGACGCACCTCCACGTGCCCAGGCTCTTGCCCAAATCGCATCTGCAAAAGTCCCTTCTGCCGTGGAAGGCCACCTCTTCACAGTGCCACGGCGTGGAGCATGGACACCGGTGGGGTCATTTTTCTGCCACGGATGGGGAGGGCTGAAGGGGACATTGTGGGAGACCAGGGTCCAGTTAGAGGTTCGGGCAGGTGACCGGAACCCGGCGTGCTCCGTTCACAGCCCTCAGGGGACGGGTGGGCGTGGGGCTGGCCCGGCATCCTGGCCTCACGTACACCCCCTTACATCTCGGTGATGCTCCTACGAGGAAAATGCGGAGTTCCAGTGACGTGGGGCCTTCAGCCACCAGCCCCGAGGTCCCTTGCTGAGTGGCAGGTGGAGGCACAGGAGGGTGCTGGTGGGGGTGGGGCAAGGTCCCTGTAGTGAAGGGGGGGTGGTCACAGGGAGTGTGGGACCCTCTTCTCCGTCTGTAAGTGCGCAGGGTGGCAGAGGAGGCTTATCTAAGGAAATCGGTGAACACAGGCAGACGCGCACACACAGGTGTGCGTGGCCTCTGGTGGCGACAACAGCTCTCCAGTAACCATTGTTTTTTTTTCCCTCTTAAAGCTGGAGCTCCGCATGAAAGAGGAGAGAGAGGACATTCCGGTCCGGTGGTCCTTCCTCAGCGTGCCAGAGATGGCCATCACCCTCCAGCCCCGAGCGCCGGGGGAGGTCAGTCCATCCATGCCTACGATGCCTCCGTCGGTGTGTTGGGAACGTGTGTGTGTGTGTGTGTGTGTGTGTGTGTGTGTGTTGCTATAAAAGTTATAAATTTCTTTTATGCCCACTCTCACCCCTGGCTTCGGGCTGCCCCTGGAATCACCTGGCAGCTGTTAAGAACCCGGAAGCCTGCCTGCCACCTCCATGTGGGTGCCATGGGGCTGGGGAGCCCCCATTGGGGTGCCATGGGGCTGCCGAACCCCCATGGCGTGTCATAGGGCTGGGGAGTTTTTAGGTGTGCATGTGTTTCTTTTTTTTTAGACATTATTTTTTGTGTGTTTTTTGTTGTTGTTGTTGATGTTGTTGTTGTTATTTTTGTTTTATTTTGTTTTTGCATGTGCGTCTTCAGGTTGCAAACTATTGAAGGAATAACATTCTATCCACCTGATGGTCAGATTCGCTCTCCTTCCTAGAAATGACTTTACCTACAGCTCGGGCTGAGCCCAGCCAGCTTCCTCCCCACAGCTTTTGCAAAGACAGCACTCCAAATCTGGAGGCTGCCTCCTCCCTGCTCCCTGGGTCTTGGCTGTCTGGAGAAGTGAATCCAGGAGTGGGAGTGTGCATGCTAATCAGTGGGTGTCGCCGTGTCCAGTAGCTGGAACGATCATGCAGAATCATTTACACCAAAGGCTTAGGTCAATGGTTGGCAAACTCATTAGTCAACGGAGCCAAATATCAACAGTACGACGATTGAAATTGCTTTTGAGAGCCAAACTTTTAAAACTTAAACTGTATAGGTAGGTACATTGTTATTAACTTAATTAGGGTCCTCCTAAGCTGGCCTTTGCTAAAAACTCAAGGGGTCAAAGAGCTGTATGAGGCTCCAGAGCCATAGTTTGCCAACCACTGGCTTAAGTTATTGGGTTCTTCCTTTGCAGCAGCTTTTACAAGAATTCCTTGTGATTTTACCCTCTTTCTGACTCTTGTTCAACAGCTGAAACATGTGAATTTAATAGTTGGTCTATAAATATCCAACTGTCCATGCCTTAAACTAGATAGGGACAGTTGCTTTTTTTAAAAATACTGGTAAGTGTGAATGGTGATTCAGCTTGCATGCATCGAAAGTGTCATTTGTGCCCGGCTGTTTAGTTATAGAATGGGCCCGTGTGCAGTATCTCCCTCGTTGCCAGCTCCGTGTCTCTTTCTCCTTCTTCCATATTTGTGCCTCCTTCCTCCCACACGATGTCCTTTGTTTTGTAACTTGCTCCCCTGGCACCATGCTTTTAGCGCTGGTGGTCTTGATCTGGCATCTAGAAGGGTTCAGGATTCTGGAGGAGGGGCTGTGCGTAAAATTAATTAAGAGTCCAGAGACGAAACATAATTTTGGAAGGCATACTGGGGAGAGTCAGAGAAGATTTAGTTAAAGGAATTAAGTTCTCCTTGTCTCAGGACCCCTTGCTTTTTATTAACACAATTTGTCCTAAGGCAAGGTGGAGACATACACATCAAAGGGTAGGGTTAGGTACAGAATCCATTGTCTGGTTGGGAATTAGCCTACAGCTGTTCAGGTGTTTGGCTAGGAGGAGGCAATACCATGTAGATTAAGATGCCCTGAGCTGTCTGACAGCAAGCAATCAATTTTTGCATCCATTTCAGGTTTGGGGAAATGCCTTTAGCCATTTCCAGCAGCATAACTTATGTGACTCAGCCTTTGTTGAGTCCCCAAGTTCCATCAACCTTTTGATGAGACTCTTGCAATTATGACATGCTGGAACTGGCTTCCAGCAGCACCATTGTTGACCTCAAACCTGCCAACACTCAGGGTGCTTGGCTGGCCCTTTTCTCAAAGTGTATCCCACTGAGGAGTACTAAGTTCACGTTCAACATTGACTTGATTTTTTTTTTTCCCCCCTCTGTGTGGTCATCATACCAAGTTCATATCTAGTGAACTGACTGCACTTGTGTCTGTTCGGGTGTGATATTAGGGTTTGTCCCCATCTTTGTTGATTTACTTATTATTTAATGTGCAAACTATTAGCATGATTTTCAAGTCAAAGTTACATGAAACTTTATACTTAGAAGTCTGTTTCCCTTTCCTTTCCCTTCTACCACCATTCTTCTGCATGCTGTAACACGTTTTTTATCTTTTCTGAGTTTCTTTTTATAAGAATGAACTTATTCATCCTTTCTTACCCAGATATGTGCTTTTTATACCCTCCCCCCCCGTCCCTGGCTATTTCTCTGACCTCCATGTGCTGCTCATATTTGTGAGAAGTATGACTTCCCCAGTGAAGCAGTTCTGTACATCAGCCAGCCCCCTGAAGCCAAGCCCCCCGAGTGTTGGCAGGTTTGAGGTCAACAGTGGTGCTGCTGGAAGCCAGTTCCAGCATGTCACCCCCATGAGTCACATAAGTTATGCTGCTGGAAATGGCTAAAGGCATTTCCCCAAACCTGCTGGGTCCCTGTGGGGAGGAGATGACATGTGGGCAGGGGGGTGGCATAGAAGGAAGGCCCCGAGTCAGCTGCTCTGAAGATCTAAGATGTAATGGACTCTGACATTCGAGTACCCCAACTCATCTTTCACCCTTGGTTTCCTCCTCTGTAAGGTGCGGAGACATTGTGGGGGTGAAGAGGATAAAAGCAGACAGCCCTCACCGGTTTGGCTCAGTGGATAGAGCACCGGCCTACAGACTGAAGGATTTTGGGTTTGATTTTGGTCAAGGGCACATGCCCCAGTTGTGGGCTTGATCCCCAGGAGGGGTGTGCAGCTGATCAATGATTCCCTCTCGTCTTTAATGTTCCTATCTCTCTCTACCTCTCCCTTTCTCTCTGAAATCAATAAAAAATCTATTCATATATAAAAAAAAGATAAAAGTAGACAAGAAAGCGTGGACCATCCATATAATGGCATGTCCTTCAGGCGTAAAGGAGAGTGAGGTTGTGATTCCTGCTGGAACTCGCATCACCCTGAGCGCGTCACATTCAGAGAAAGAAGCCAGACACACAAGGCCACGGCGGTGGGACTCCACGTTCCTCCCCGTCACATCTCTATGCCGTGTCCAGAGCAGGCAAACCCGAGAGGGGGAAGCAGAGAGGGTGCGCGGGGCCTGTTGGGGGGCGGGGGAGGCATGACTGCCTGAGGGTAAGGAGTTTGCTTAGAGGTGATGGTAGTCGAACCCTTGAAAGGCACTCAATGCCACTAAGATGCGTCCGGTGAAGCGGTCACTTTTATGTTACACGGAATCTCACGGCGTGGGCTTTTCTGTGTGTGGCTCCTGTCACTCAACAGGATGTCTGTGAGGTTCATCCGTGTTGTGTGTGGCTCCGTGTGGTGTATGTGCTCATTGTCCTGTCGCATGCACGGTGTGGCTGCCCCGCAGTGTAGGGTCCCTTTCGCTGTGGGCGGACACTCGGGTAGCTTCCAGTTTGGGCTCTGAGGGCTAGCGGCGCTGTGAACATTCCAGATGCACGGACACACCTGAGTTGGGTATTAATTGAGGTAGCTTTGTAGATCTTCTCAAAGCTCGTCTTCATTCTTCTCAGGCCTTTCCGTTTAATTTCAAAAAAAAAAAAATATCCAGCCCTAACTGGTATGGCTCAGTGGATAGAGTGTTGGCCTGCTGACTGAGGGGTCCCAGGTTCGATTCCGGTCAAGGGCACGCACCTCGGTTGCGGGCACATCCCCAGTGGGAGGTGTGCAGGAGGCAGCTGGTCGATGTTTCTCTCTCACTGATGTTTCTAACTTTCTATCCCTCTCCCTTCCTCTCTATAAAAAATCAATAAAATATATATTTTTTAAAAATATCCAATGTTGCGCAAGAAAGAGAAACCACATGTCTGTACATTTGGGGAAAATGGCTGACAGGGATATACACAGAAATATTAACATTTCTATGGTGCACAATGGCTTTTTTTTTTTTTTTTTTTTTTTTTTTTTTTGCCATTTTACCTCTTTGGCTCAGGGGTTTGAGCATTCACCTGTGAGCCGAAGGGTCGTGGGTTGGATTCCTGGTCAAGGACACGTGCCTTGGCTGCTGAGTGCAGCCCTGGTGGGTAGCGTGTGGGAGGCAAACAGTTGATGTGTCTCTCTCATATTGATGTCTCTCTCCCCCCATCTTCCCTCCATTCCACTCTCTCTGGAAATCAATGGAAAAAATACCCTCACGTGAGGATATAAACAAAATAAATAAAAAAGTGGCGAATTGCTTCCGAGCTCAGTACAAAGGGCCCTCTCCCCCAGAGCTCTCACGGGTCCTGATCCGACCTCCTGGGGCCTGGCGACCCCAGGTGTGCTCGCCTGTCCTCTTGCACGCACATGTGGTTAGGAAATGATCTGGTGACTCCCTCCTCTCCCGGCAGGACCGGGCCGGGGAGGTGAAGGCGATCTGTGAGACCCTCAAGGACATTCTGAAGCACCTGGTGAGCTCCGCCTCCCCGTCCGTGGTGCTGAGCTCCAGGCCCGTGGACGTGCGGGAAGCCCAGGTGAGCTGCTCGCGGTGTGAGTGCTCCCGGTGCGGGTGCTCCAAGGCCCCACAGGACCGGGGCCGGCTGCCCGGGGCACCTGTGTGCGTTTCCCATGTTCCTCCGTCCCGCAATGTTAGAGCCCGATTGCACCAGTGCTTGCTGATCAGTAATGACTGACTGCGCTCTGGGGAAGCTTCCAGTTCAGGGCACGGGGTTCCGAAGTTCGAGGGGAAGGAGGGGGAGCTGGAAGGAAGAGGGCCACTCAGCACATTCCACCCTAACTAGGCCGGACCCTCAGCCTTGTAGGAGCCCAAACTTGACTTTTTACTGGGGTGTTGGGCAGTGTCCTGCCAGAATTGAGGTTCCCGGGAAAACCAGTTAGCCCTGGACAGGCCCACTGCCCAGCCCAGGCCGGGGTCAGCCTGGTGACCTGCAGCCCGGAGAGGGCGTCCACTGCCCGTTAGGTACCTGGCCTGGGTCTGGCATGGACCCCACGGCGGCTCCAGGCTCCGCCCACAGTACGGTTCTGGGGAGCCCCCCCGGGCTGAGGGCATTGCTGCCGTTGGGAGTCCGGAGGCCCCCCGCGGGGAAATGGTTCCTGTGGGCAGCACCAACCTTCGCCTAAGAGGGAAGCTGCCACAGCCCAGACCCCGCTCAGGCCCCGCGGCCGCCTCTGTCCTCCACCTCCCACGGTCACAGCGCCTCCTCTTCCTGCAGAATCTCCAGCACACCACAGCCGCCCCCCAGGACCCCTGCCCCCCCAAACCTCCACGGGCCCACGACCTCAAGTTACTGGTGAAGAACATCCGGGCCTCGCTGCTCAACGCCCCTGGTGCTCCAGGTGGGTGACGGGGCGCAGGACTGGGTGACGGGGTGCAGGGCTTGGGTGGCAGCAGGTGCCGGGCCGCTGCAGAAGCCACTGTCCCACGGCACCAGCCGAGCGGGCGGGTGGCCTGGGAGTTCTCGGTGGCTCCCGCAAGGCGGGTCTGCAGTGTGAGCCTGCGTGAGAGGAGGCGACCCCCTGGAGGCCGTCATAGCAATGCGAGCCCATCTAACGAATGCAGCCTGGGTTTTCCAGAGAGGAGGGAGGGAAGGAGGGAGGGAGGGAGGGAGGGAGGGAGGGAGGGAGGGAGGGAGGGAGGGAGGGAAGGAGGGAGGGAGGGGAATACAGCTGTAGCTTTCCCCTTTCCTTGAGTCTGGGAGGCACCATTTACTTTTCTTTTCCCCCCACTGTTGAGCCTGAAAATGCACACTCAGCATCCTCCACCAACCTGCTTTTGGGGGGAGGGACCTCGGTGTGTGTGTGTCAGAAGGGCTTTGGCCCAGCGGGGACCCTTCGGTGCAGAGCGGCTGCCGTCTGAGCGGAGAGGAAAGTCCCCCTGGAGGAATGCCTTCCGGGGGTTGTGAATCGTTGCTGAGACCCCAAGTGCGCCGCAGCCGGGACAGGACGCGGTTGGGCTGGGAACAGCAGTGCTTCTCTCTGTGGTCGGAGGATGTCGGGGTTCCTTCTCTTTGTCTGCAAGGAGCTTCTTTCCGTTCCCAGCGCAGACAGGCCCCACTGAACAGCCAGCATTCGGCAGAGCTGGGTGCAGTGATGGCCCACGTGCTGCCTCCTGGGGCCCCACGCTCAGTGACTAAGAGGGACCTCCCGGACCCAGTCGGCCGGGGTTGGGGTTCCTTCAGGGTCTGAAAGGAGGGGATGGTGAAGGTTGGTGAACACCTCACGGAGCCAGGCACATGGAGAAGGGCCGGCAGAGCCCAGTGATGGTTGATCACACGGTGTATTCAGACTTGACGCCGAGGGGCGGGCATTGCTGAGGGGGGCAGTGCCCAGGGGCGGGCAGTGCCTCGGAGCAGAGGCAGCTGTTGGCTAGTGGAGTCCCTTTACCTGGACCAACACCCAGAGAGGTTTGAAGGGAGCTGAGCCAGGTGTAAACACCACACCTGGGGTAACTAGGGAAGTGGGTGCTCTGTGAGTTGTCCCCACATCTAGCAAGTGGTGGGTCTTGGCCAGAAGTGGGGACCACCTCTCTGTTGTATTCAGGTCGCCCCCAGGAGGGTCCCTTACCGTGAGCAGGCACTTGGGGTCAGTCCGGGGCTCTGCATATCCAGTGGGGATACACAGTCTTTAACCCCAGGTGAAGTGGGATGCTTTGAGAGTTTATACATGACAAATGAAAGGAAGTGGGTGAGCCAGGACCTTGGGCATTGTACTGAGCCTTCCTTGGAGTGCAGAAGTGTCTCTGAGCTGTGAAGAGGCAAACATAAAAGGCAGTGCCTGCCTGTGTGTGATTCCAGGCCCCGCCAACCTCCACTGCCACGTGCAGCTGAACGACCCCGCCCAGAAGCTCGCCAGCGCCCTCCCGAGACACACTACGGACCTCACCTGGGAAGAAGAATTCACCTTGTGCGTGCCTGTGTGTGTCCCCCCCCCCCCCCCCCCGTTCCTGTGGGCCTGGGTTTCCACGGTGACACCTCCTCAGATTGCCAGCCCCTGAGATCCTTTCACAGCACACAAAAATGACTTCTCGTTTTTAAAAAGCATATTAGGCATCGGAGGCAGCTTTAAGTCAAACATAAATTCCTTTTGGAAGGCAGATCTGCTTATGCTCCAGAGATATCCAGTGACATTTCATACCCATTTCTAATGCTAAAAATCATTAGAAACAAGATTTACGGACACTTCTTCAAAAATATTTTTTTAGAGACAATCACTGGAAGTGATGAAAACCAGAAGCAGTCCCAGTAACGTGAAGTTACAAGCACCTGTGTGAACTAGACCCACCGTCCTCAGGATGTGGGGTAATTCTAGGATATGAGGCACTAAATATTAAGGATAGTGAGGTTGCAGATAATCTTTAGGTTTCTGGTTATGTGTCTCGCAGTTTTTAAAATAGGGATGATGACTAGTCCTTCCTGTAGTCAGGAAAAAAGTACTATTTCAAAAAGTGAGGGCTTACATCCCTTTTTCTCTGTGCAGCGAGTTGAACGCCAAGTCGAAGGAGTTGAGCCTGCAGATCTCGGAGGACAGGCCGTCCGCAGAAGGTGGGTGGCGAGCAGGGGGACGGAGGCCCTGCCCTCGGGAAGGGTCCTCCAGGGCCCTGGCCAGGGCGGAGGGAAGCCGGGCAGGGCGGGAGACCCCGAGGCGGCCTCCCCCACCCCCCATAGCATCAGGGCCTCCCCAGGGAATGTTTGGCTGAAAATCCATCCAGGTATTAATAAGGTGCATTATGGGAAAGAGTGTATTCCAAGAGGTTTTTTTTTATTTGTTTATTTATTTACCAGATATCCAGAGTCTTTTCTTTTTAACAGTTCTTGGTTTAGAGAAGCAGTTCTCAACCCTCTTAGCCTCAACAGACCTTAAAAATAATTTTTTTTAAAATTATGATGAAATGCATGTTGCAACGTTTATCACCTTGGCCACGTTTTAGCGTGCAGCTCAGCGGCATTCAGGGCATTCACATGGTTGTGCAACCAGCACCACCATCCGTCCAACTCCTTTCATCTTGCAAAACTGAAACTCAGCCCCACTGCACACTGGCCCCCTCCACCCCCCTCTACCCCCCCCCCCGCCCCCGGCATCGCCGTCCCTCTGTCTCTATGGCTTCCCACCGGCTTTTCCTTGGGAGAATGAGTCGCAGCAGCTCAAATTGAACACATGCGTTAGATGCAGGGAAACAGCGATTAGAGGTAAAAAACCACCATGTCACCAAAGTGAATGTGGACCTGCTATAGGTCATAGTTTCCATATCGATTGGATTTTTTAAAATCCAAACCAAGGTACATGCCCTTGTCCGGAATTGAACCTGGGACCCTTCAATCCACAGGCCGATGCTCTATCCACTGAGCCACACTGGTTTCGGCTCGATTGGATTTTTAAAATTCTCCATAAACATACCAAAATTGGGAGGTGGGGGGAGGGCTTACCTGTCTTATCCGGCTGTGCGTCCCAGGCCTTCGCTTATCGGCTGGCATTACAAAGACCCAGGGCCTTGACCTGCATCCTGAGACGCCTGGGCTGCCCCTGAGGTCAGAGCTGACCTTCGGGAGCCGGGCGTGCACACTGGGCCACTGTTTGCCTGGAGAAAAGCGGCTCCTCCTTTATCCCGGAGCCCCCTCCTCTTGGCTCCATTGGAATTTCATCCCAGCTGGACATTTCATCCCAGTGACATTTCAACCTTAACACACACACACACACACACACACACACACACACACACACCATACACAGCAAAGAACTCAGACTCACCTATGACTGCATTTGCCCCATTTTCTCTATTGGCTGTGCTCACACTTGTTCATACTTGCTTATGTGCATGCTCTCTCAGTAACACGCGCACACATGCACACACACGAGGGGAAATGTGGGGACCCTCTGAGGGCAGTTCTATGCGTCACAGGCCTTTCACCCCTCAGCTCCGTAGGGTGCATTACAGACGGGGCTGCTCTCACTGTCCCAGGAACAGCACCAGTTTCCTGAGCTGACGCGAACGGTTCCTTAATCGCCACCCAGATTCTGACTTGTATCCGTGGACCCACAGCTCATCTTCAAACCAGCTGTGTCCCCCGCGGGGCAGGTTCCGACGGACGCTGCCCCAGCGTCACGCCTCAGCCTCCTCGGCCTTTTCCTGACCCTGACCTTGGTCAGATGTTTCCATGGAATGGTCTGCGATCAGGAGTGGGTCCGGCTGCAGCCGCTGCCCCTGCCGTCCTGCTGGGCCGGGACATCCTGGTGCTCGCTCACCGCCGTGTCCTGTCTTCCAGCCCCGCTGGCCACGGCCACCGTCCCTCTGGATCTGTTCAGGAAGCAGCCTTCCGGGCCGCAGAGCTTCGTGCTGTCCCGCGGGCCCTCGGTGGACGGCGCGGCCCTGGGCTCGGTCACCGCTGAGGTACGTGCCCAGTGCCTCCTTCAGGGGAGGGGCTCCTCTGTGGTCGTCAGAAGCTCCTCCTTGTGAGGGGCTGTTTCTCTGTTTTCCTTGACCCGCACGGAAAATGACAGGCTCCTGAGTGGAGGAGCGGGGGATTAAGAAATTAAAGGAGCCGAAACCGGTTTGGCTCAGCGGTAGAGCGTCGGTCTGCGGACTGAAAGGTCCCGGGTTCGATTCCGGTCAAGGACATGTACCTCAGTTGCGGGCACATCCCCAGTAGGGGGTGTGCAAGAGGCAGCTGGTCGATGTTTCTCTCTCATCGACGTTTCTAGTTCTCTATCTCTCTCCCTTCCTCTCTGTAAAAAATCAATAAAATATATTTTAAAAATTAAAGGAAAAAGAAGAGACCAAGACTCAGAAATAGAGACAAGCTGGGACCCGGGTGGGGCTGTCACTCTGATGGAGAGACAGTCACACCCACCACAGACAGCACAGCGCATTTATGGATTTCCAGAAGGGGTTTAAGGTCAGAGACGTTTTGGGTGTGCCCAGGTCCTATCCATTCCCTCATTCCCGGGATTTAGCATATCAAGACCTGGGTAAGTCAAGATCCTATTCCATCCTCATTCCAAGCACTTGGATAAAGATAAGAAATTGGTACTGATAACAGTCTCCCACATTTTGGGAGGCTGTTTCTGGGGATGGCCATGCCAGTCACCTCAGACTCAGCTGACGTTAATTAAAAAAATATATATATTGATTTTTTACAGAAAGGAAGAGAAAGGGATAGAGAGTTAGAAACATCAATGAGAGAGAATCATCGACCAGCTGCCTCCTGCAAACCCTCCCCTCCACCCCCACTGGGGATGTGCCCACAACCAAGGTACATGCCCTTGACCTGAATCGAACCTGGGACCTTTCAGTCCGCAAGCTGACGCTCTATCCACCGAGCCAAACCGGTTTCAGCTAATGTATAGGTCATCCATGTGCATTCCCAAGGGGCCCTCAACACCTCCGGAAGGTCCCAGGCTTGACCAGGACCCTTCCTGCCCCCGGCCTGGCCGAGGGGGCCGGTCATTTCACGAGGGTTTGTGATCCCTCCGGCCTTTGTCCCCATCGTGTGTGTGGCGTGGCTGGGCTGGAGCCTGGGCCTCGCGGCCTGTGTAAGCCCCCGGGGGGGGGGGCCTGCGTTCACTCATCCTGACCCTCACGGGGCGATCGGGGAGCAGAGGAGGCCCGCGGGCCATGCGGGTGGTCCCGGCACTGACCGGACGCCCCCGGGCGGCCTCCCCCGCAGTTCTGTTACGTGGAACCCGCAGAGGCCAAGTCCTGGCACACGCCCCCGCCGGTGCCCGCCGCCAAGGTGGAGAAGGACCGCACGGTGATGCCCTGCGGGACCGTGGTCACCACCGTCACCGCCGTGAAGAGCAAGCCGCGCCTGGACGCCGGGAGGGCGTCCCCGCTGAGCTCGGGTGAGAGGGGCCGCGGTCTCGCTGGGCCCCGGGGGCAGAGGGCCCGCACCGGGGGTCCGTTTAGCAGATCTCAGGGTGCAGAGGGTCGTGGGGATGGGCAAGACCTGTGTGTAGCTTTCTCTCTCTCTCCCTCTCTCTCTCTCTCTCTCTCTCTCTCTCTTTTTTTTTTAAAGAAAATTATCGTCCTGCTTTGTCAGAGGAATGACAGCCTTGTAGTCTGTTCTGAAGCTAAAGCTGAGATCCTGGATGAAACAGCTGGTTAACTTAATAACTTAATGATTTAATAACTCCGTTACGGGCACGGGGCGAGGGCACCACGCTGGGGAAAGGGATGCGCGTGGCCAGTGTGCAGCTTCCCGTGTTGAGATCGTGGGTTAGAAGGCTGGAGGGACCGCCTTTCAGATGTAGCGGAATTCCCTGCCTGTTCCCACAGCACGGCCTGGCAGACACTTGTGTGATTATCATTTTTTAAAAAAATATATTTTATTGATTTCTTACAGAGAGGAAGGGAGAGGGATAGAGAGCTAGAAACATCGATGAGAGGGAAACATCAATCAGCTGCCTCCTGCACACCCCCCACCGGGGATGTGGCCGCAAACCAAGGTACATGCCCTTGAACGGAATCGAACCCGGGACCTTTCAGTCTGCAGGCCGATGCTCTATCCACTGAGCCAAACCGGTTTCGGCTGATTATCATTTTTTTTTTTTTTAACTTATATCGTGTTTCTGCGTATTCTGAGGTAGCATCTTCCCAGCGCCCACCGCTTGGCATTCCGTTATGAATGCAAAACAGAGCGTGACACCTCCCTCGGAAAGCTTTTCTAAAGTTTTATTTAAACCTGAGCTCCCAGCACCCCTTTCTGGCAGCCCCGCCCCCCAGAAGAGAGGAAAGAGTGAGGCCGCTCGGCCATCCTGAGGTCTGGCTGTGAGTCAGTTGAGATGAGGTGTGATCTCGCCCGGTGACGGTTCAGGCGATGGGTAACCGAGTCTGTCCCGGCAGAGTCTCCGCTGCGGACGCCCGTCAAGGTGCGGGTGATCGAGAAGGACATCTCCGTCCAGGCCATCTCCTGCCACAGCCCTCCCGTCAGCAAAACCCTGTCTTCTTCTGACACAGGTGAGGCCCCCCCACACCTCCCTCTGCCCCTGGGCTCCGCCCTCTGCCCCTCAGCTCCTCCCTCAACCTCTCAGCTCCTCCCTCTGCCCCTCAGTTCCTCCTTCTGCCCCTCAGCTCCTCCTCTGCCCCTCAGCTCCTCCCTCTGCCCCTCAGCTCCTCCCTCTGGGCTCCGCCCTCTGCCCCTGGGCTCCTCCCTCTGCCCCTCAGTTCCTCCTTCTGCCCCTGGGCTCCTCCCTTTGCCCCTCAGCTCCTCCCTCTGGACTCCGCCCTCTGCCCCTGGGCTCCTCCCTCTGCCCCTCAACTCCTCCTTCTGGGCTCCGCCCTCTGCCCCTCAGCTCCTCCCTCTGCCCCTCAGCTCCTCCCCTGCCCTGGGCTCCGCCCTCTGCCCCTCAGCTCCTCCCCTGCCCTGGGCTCCGCCCTCTGCCCTTCAGCTCCTCCCCTGCCCTGGGCTCCGCCCTCTGCCCCTCAGCTCCTCCCCTGCCCTGGGCTCCGCCCTCTGCCCCTCAGCTCCTCCCCTGCCCCTGTGCTCCGCCCTCTGCCCCTCAGCTCCTCCCTCTACCTCTCAGCTCCTCCCTCTGCCCCTCAGCTCCTCCCTTGCCCCTCAGCTCCTCCCCTGCCCTGGGCTCCGCCCTCTGCCCCTCAGCTCCTCCCCTGCCCCTGTGCTCCGCCCTCTGCCCCTCAGCTCCTCCCTCTACCTCTCAGCTCCTCCCTCTGCCCCTCAGCTCCTCCCTTGCCCCTCAGCTCCTCCCCTGCCCTGGGCTCCGCCCTCTGCCTCGCCCTGATGAGGGAGCATTGGTTGGGGAGTGTGGGAAGTTCTTTGCGGAATAAGTTAAGCCGGGAGAAGGAGGGAAATGGAAGCTGATGGAAGGCCAGGAGGGTGGCACCTGCTCTAGTGAAGGAGGCGAGGCGCTGTAACATGAGCACAGAGCCCTGCCGCGGCCTCCCCGGATGGAATCCCCCAGCATTCCTTTCTCTCCTGTTCAGCAGCCCCGCTGCGTGACTCAGGGCGTGGGGGGCCTCGGGCATAACTGAGAGCCAGCTTTAGTCTGGTCTCCGCTGTCCCCGAGGCCTGCCGGGAGGAGGGTTCCCCAGACCCCGGGCTGCCCATTTTCCACCCTTACGGCCGCTCTCACGACGGCATTAAAGAGCTGAGCTGTCTCTGAGTCAGCACAGCCTGTGTGGGGGCTCTGGGGCCTGCGGCTCTGGCTCTGCTCCCCGTTCCTCAGTCTGTGTCTGATCTTCCAAGGTCAGGGTGGGGCACGGAGGAGCAGGTGGGCCTGGGTCTGGGGCAGGGTTCTCCCTTGATGGGTGCTACCCTAGGATGTTCTGGATCCTCTCTCCGGGGGGAGTCGAAAAGGGTCCCTGTCCCTGTGGGAGTCCCCGTGGTACCCGGGACGCAGCCCTGCAGGTCCCCCAGCCCCGCCCCGTCCTGTCCGCTGGAGTCTTTGGGAGTCACTGTACAGCTGTCTCCTAAAGCACCCGCCCACCCTTTCTCCTCCCTCTCCTCACCCTGCGGCCTGGCCCAAATGGTCCCTGCAGGCCACGGCCCAAACTGAGATGAGAAAACGCTTTTACATCAGGAACGGGAACCTTTTTCCTGTCACGAGCCATTTGGATATTTATAATGTCCTTCGTGTCTTTAGCCCACCCCCTTTTTAAAAAATATATATTTTATTGATTTTTTTACAGAGAGGAGAGGGATAGAGAGTTAGAAACATCGATGAGAGAGACACATGGATCAGCTGCCTCTTGCACACCCCCTACTGGGGATGTGCCGGCAACCAAGGTACATGCCCTTGACTGGAATCGAACCCGGGACCTTTCAGTCTGCAGGCTGACGCTCTATCCACTGAGCCAAACCGGTTTCGGCTAGCCCACCCCTTTTGCAGGCCTCACACGCCCTCGGGCCCAGAAGCTCCCCCCAGTTTTACATCCTGCTCCGTGATGTGTTGTCCCCTTCACCTTCCTCTGGCAGCACAGAGGCTGGGCCTCCATCTCCCCGGTTCTCGGTCGAGGACTTAGAAGGGACCCGCTGCAGGTCGGGCCGGGTGAATCGGATAACGCGCTCAGAGCCCGGGCACGCCGGCTGGTGTGTGCCCGCGCGCGGTTCTGACCGGGAGGGGCCGCTTGTCCGCGCTGGCCCTCAGCCTGGCACCAGCCGTGGCCGCCCGTCCCCCCAGGGATGGGAGTGACTGCTCTGCCGCCGAAGGTCAGGTCCCCGGAAGGTCAGTGGTCTTGTTCACCTGCCCTCACGGCCTTCCATCCCCTCCGCCGAGCAGAGGCTCCCACCCAGGCGCACCGTGTCCCCTCCCTGAGGGTCCCGCAGAGTCAGGGCCCTCGGAGGGGCCGCAGAGGCTCAGCGCGGCCCCCCCTTCCCCTTGCAGAACTGCTGGTGCTGAACGGCTCGGACCCCGTGGCCGAGGTCGCCATCCGGCAGCTCAGCGAGTCCTCGAAGCTGAAGCTGAAGTCGCCGCGGAAGCGGAGCACCATCATCATATCAGGGATCTCCAAGGTGCGGGCACACGTGCACACACACACACACTCACACATGCACACACGCGTGCACATACACGCACGCACATGCACACATGCGCTCACACGCACGCACACACACACATGGGCGCACACTCACACTCATACGTTCACACATGCACACACACATGCACACGCACACACATGCACACACGCGCGCGCACACGCACACATGCGCTCGCACGCACGCGCGCGCACACACACACACACACACACACACGGGCGCACGCGCACACTCACACTCATACACTCATAAACGCGCGCGCGCGCACACACACACACACACACACACGGGTGCACGCGCACACTCACACTCATACACTCATACGCGCACATGTGCACACACACACACACATGCACACACAGGCGCGCAAACGCACACATGCGCTCGCGCGCGCGCGCGCACACACACACACACACACACACATGGGCGCACGCGCGCACTCACACTCACACTCACACTCATACACTCATACGCGCGCACAGGCACACACACACGCACACACCGCCCCCGCGGGGCTGGCATCAGCCCCAGCCGCTGCCCCTCCCTCCGGGAGCGCTGAGCTCTCCATCCGGGTCCCAATGGCCTCTCCCCTGGGGCAGTTCGCCCCGCTGATGACGGAAACAGGGTGCGGGGGCTGCTGAGGTCGGTGATGGCTTGAAGAAAGGTCCTCGGGAGAGAAGGGCCGGCAGGTGCTGGGGACGGCCCCTCCTCCCTTATCCCCGCCCGGTTCAGGCGCTGTCACCTTCCGCGCTGCACCTTTCCACACCGCCTCCGCGTTTGGCAAGGCGCGGCGTGCCCTTTGCACTCCGGGGCCGGAGCTTGTTTTTAAACACGTTCCAATCCCCTTCCTCCTGCTGCTCTGGGACGTTTGTCCGGAGCAGAGGGTGGGGCGAGGCCGTCCCTGATGGCGGTCCTGACGCTTCTCTCACACGTCAGACACCTGGGGAGCTCCCAGCAGCTCAGCCCGCTCCCCGAGGGGAAGGGGAGCCGTGGAGGGAGAGCTGGGAGAGGCCATGGAGGGAGGGACCAAGGAGGAGGGACTGTTGAACCCTGAGGACAAGTGGATTGGAGGAGGGCACTGGAGGGTGGGGCCAGACGAAAGCCAGAACAGGAGGTGCCAGAGGGGAATCTCAGGGCCTATGGGTGGCCGGTGCCACGTCCCAGCAGGCACCGCTGGCTGGTGGCCTCCAGCAGCAGCACCCAGGAGCAGGTCATGCCTCCCTGGCTTCCTGCGTGCACTTCCAGCCACAGCCAGCAGGCGGCGAGGGTGTCTCTGGGAGCTCCCTGACCCCAGACGGAAGTTTTGTTTGTGGAGGTTCTGGGTACGCGGGAATGACAATGACATAGAAGGAGGCTTTGGTCATCTCCTCTGAGGCTTTGTTGTAGATCAGTTGCAGCTCATGGACCTTAACATCTGCTCACTTGGTCCGACCTCGAGTCCGTGGGCTCCGGAATCAGAAAGGGCAGCTCATGGGCGCCGAGCAGATGCTCCTGTGCACCTGCCCCCCGTCAGAACCACAGACCAGCCCCCAGAGCCCTGTGTCCCCCCATAGTCACTCCCCTGACTCCCAGCCCAGGGGAGAGCAGCACCTCCACGGGTTTTACACACGTGTAATTCTTAGGGCACACGGTGCATACCGATTCGTTTCCACTTTCAGGAAACCTAAAGATGCTGTAGAAACAAAGATTCGAAGACGGACTGAATCTGGGGCTCCGGGGTTACCCTGTGACCTCTCTGAGACGCTTCCACCTCACCCCCGGGGTTCCCACAGGCGCCTGGCCGGCCCATGGGCTGGGGCAGGGATGCCACCTCCCCCGACCCCTTCCAGATCCCCAGCTCAGGCTGCGCCCCTTGCAGTGACTGAGGTTCAGCCCCCGATATGCATATATATATATATATATATATATATATATATATATATATAACAGAATAATATATGTATAATTCAGTTCTTTTTAAATTTAATTTTTAAAATGTTTTTTAAATTAAAAAAATACATTTTATTGATTTTTTACAGAGAGGAAGAGAGAGGGATAGAGAGTTAGAAACATCGATGAGAGAGAATCATCCATCAGCTGCCTCCTGCACACCCCCATCGGGGACGTACCTGCAACCAAGGTACATGCCCCCGACCGGAACTGAACCCGGGACCTTTCAATCCGCAGACCGACGCTCTATCCACTGAGCCAAACCGGTTTCAGCTAATATTCAATTCTCTTTAAATTTAATTTATTTTTTAAAAGTCTCACTTGGGACATGCTTAGGAGAGAGAGAGAGAGAGAGAGAGAGAGAGAGAGAGAGAGAGAGAGAGGCAGGCATCGGCTGGTTGCCTTGTGTATGCCCCCTGGCTGGGGACTAAATCCACAGCCTCTGACTGGGAATCGAACCCGCAGCCTTCCCGTGCATGGGGACGGCAGCCACTCTGGCGGGCAGAGGCGCCATGTTAAAGGAGTGCCTCCGGGGGTCAGGCCTCTCGGACACTTTGGAATTAGCCAGGATGTTGGGGCTGACTCCAGTGTCCTCTAACCTTCCCTCTCCCCGGCTCTCCCTCTCTCCCCGGACAGACCTCTCTCTCTCAGGACAGTGACGCCGCCCTGATGCTGGACTACGCGGCCTCCATGGACAGCAGCTGCCGGGAGGACACCCCGTCCCCGCCGGGGGCAGCCCTGGCCTCTGCCCCACCCGCGGAGGAGGCAGAGGTGGAGGAGGAGGAGGAGGAGGAGGAGGAGGCAGCGGCCTCGGCCCAGGCCGCACTGGCCCCCGAGCCCCAGGACGGGGAGCTGGCCTCCTGGGAGGAGTCGAAGGCCGAGGCGTGGGACGGCCACGCCCCGCGGGACCCCGAGGGGGATGAGCTGTCGGAGAGTTCCCTGAGCGTCTGGGAGCCAGGGGCCCCCAAAAAGCACAAAGGTACGTGACCCGGCACCCCGGGATCGACCACAGGCGGCTCTGCTCCTGTGCCCGTTTCCGAGCTGCTGGTTTTCCTTGTCCGCTTCCTTCCCCTCCCTCAGCGTCCCACCCCACGTTCCCGCACAGACGCCTGCTGAAGGTCAGGGGGTGCACGGCGGGGCTGCAGAGTCCTTCTGAACGAAAGATGGGGTTCCTGCTCGGAGGGCCCCCTCCTCTGGCTGCCAGCCCCCCAGAACAGAACTAAGCCAGGCAGAGACAGGGCCCGCTGAGTTAAGGTGACTGGACGTCCCGATTTCTTAAACAATATGTCAAAATTGTTAAAAACCGGGACGGTCCCGCCAAAAGCAGGACGTCTGGCCACCTTACCCTAAGCATGGAGGTTGGCATTTCTTTCTTTTTTTTTTTTTTTTTTAACATATTGTATTGATTTTTTTACAGAGAGGAGGAGAGAGGGATAGAGAGTTAGAAACGTCGATGAGAGAGAAACATCGACCAGCTGTCTCCTGCACACTCCCAACCAAGGTACATGCCCTTGACCGGAATCGAACCCGGGACCTTTCAGTCCGCAGACCGACGCTCTACCGCTGAGCCAAACCGGTTTCGGCGAGGTTGGCATTGCTGCTCATTGGTGCCTCTGAGACACTCACTCCCCTCCAACCAAAACCAGACCACCCCTCCCGGCTGGAGCCTCACTCTCCCCCAAAGAGAGAAGCTTCCGGAAAGGGAGCCCATCAGCTCAGTGCACATCCCGATGAGGGGGTCATTCCATTAGAGCGCTCCGCCGGCTTTCCTGTGGGTCTCCTCCCGTGAGGCACGTCGGACGGCCGGGGCGGGAGGGAGTGTGGGAGGGAGTGGAGTCTGGGCCCTGGGCCAGTTCCAGGGGAGCCTTCAGGGCTCGCTGAGGCCCAGCTCCCTCCTCGTAACTGGGAATTGGGGACGTGCCCACCGCTCTGCCCTCCTCCCTCCACACCCTGCGCGCCAGGCCCTGAGCCGACGGGAGTGACAGTGCGACTGGTGTGAAGTCCTAGGCACATCAGTGGCAGGAAGTGCCAGGCGGGAGCCGGCCAGCTGTCCTGTGCCCCGTGGCTCCTGGTGCTGGGGCCGGCGGTGCTCAGACAGGCGTGTGTGCGGGGCGTTCGCCGTGCCGGGAGACAGCTTCTGTTGCAGAGAGAGTGGGTGCTGCCGGCTCAGGGTGCTGCTGGCTCAGGGTGCTGATCAGGGCGACCCCAGCCGCTCCGTGGCCCCAGATCCCGGTCCGGGTGGGACCCACGATAGGGGCGTCTGTGTCCATCCTCCCGCCTCCGTCCCGTTGGCTTCCTGCCGCCCCCTCCCGGGAGCCTCCCTCCGGCCGGGCACAGACGGGATGGGCTGACGAGGAGGAGGAGAGAGAGGAAGGAGGTGGCTCCGGGATATGGTGTCCAGACCCCGTAAGGAAGGTCCTCCATTCCCCTGGTCTCGGGTGTGTCCCCTGTGGACCGAGGCTGGTGACTGGAGGGGCTTGGGAAGCTGTGACCGGTGCATGGCCTCTGGCTGGGCCCGGGTTATGGAAGAGGCGGTGTGGCTGCACCTGAGTTCTGAACTGGTCTTTGTCCAGAGCCAGGGCAGCCAGAGCCCAGGACTCCCCTGGCCCGAGGCAGGCAGGGGCCGCCCTTCCCCTCCCTCCATCTCCACTCTCGGAGCCCAGGCCTCCCGCCCGCCGCCTGTGCACTCTGAACGGCCAGCCTCACTGAGCCGGGTCCATTCCCGGGCCTCTGGCCATTCTCCTCCCTCTGCTCTTCCTCTCCTTCCTCCACCCCTTCTCCTAGTCCCCCCCCCCCCCCCCCGGGGTTCCCATCCCTGCTGGGTGTGGCCCACCAGCCCCTTTCCAGCCACCAGCCCGGTGGATGGCACCCTCCAAAAGGCACCTGTGGGGCCCAGGTGCCAGGCAGGTGGGTGCTGCTTCCAGCTCTCACTCTGAGCGCCCCCGAGGCTGGCATTCAGGGCGGCTGCGAGGATGTGGAGCCTGGGGCGCTGCAGATGGGGCTTCAAAAGGGACCGAGGGGCGGGGAGTGACCACGGCCCCCGGGTGGGTCCCATGCTCAAAGTGATCTGCACTCGGCCCCTCCCAGGTGGTGTCCGCCCCTCGGGGTCGCCGTGACACTGTTTTCCACGGACAGGTGTGCCCTGGCGGTGCAGGGAGCGGGCCGGGGCGTCTTCTCTCCTTTCAAACCGGAGCGGATTGTTCTGGCTGAGGAGCCCGGGTGGTCTGGGGCGGCAGGGAGGTCGGAGCCGGGTTTCCGGGCGTGGCTGGGGGTGCAGGGCCCCAGCCTGTGTTTGCAGAGGGGACGCCGCAGGCAGTCCAGGCAGTTCCCTCCCCGGAGCAGGGCCCGGGGTCCACACATGCAGCGTGGACGTGGCTTCCCGGCAGTGGGACCGGCTTTCCACCCCCCGCCCGGGCCCGGGAACGCCGAGGTGGCCGCCTGTGCGTCGCATGTGTGTGTTACCGCAACGCAGCACGGACACGCGAATGCGTGCGCCAAGGCCCGCCGAGCGCCCTGCCCAGCAACTCATAAGCGTGTGTGTGTGTGTGCGTGTGCGTGTGTGTCACGTCAGCGCTCCGCACTCACCGTCTCTCATTCTCATTTTGCTCTCGCACGCTTGTTTCCGCCTCTCCATCTCCTGCTCCTTCCCTTTCGCTTACGAGGACGCTGGGCCAGCCTGAGTTAATTCCTTCACAGTAAGTGGTCTTTGTCTCTATGTGTCTTTTTATTTTATTATTTTACATACATCTTATTGATTTTTTTTACAGAGAGGACGGGAGAGGGAGGAGAGTTAGAAACATCGATGAGAGAGAAACATGAATCCTCTATTGGGGAGGTGCCCGCAACCAAGGTACATGCCCTTGACTGGAATTGAACCCGGGACCTTTCAATCCGCAGGCCGATGCTCTGCCCGCTGAGCCAAACCGGTTTTGGCTATGTGTATTTTTTTTAAATTAATTTCTTTATTGGTTAAGGTATCACATATTTGTCCTCAACCTCCCAGTTCAATCCCCTCCCCCTCCTGCTCATGCCCCCACCCCACTATTGTCCTTGACCCCTGGTTGGGCTCATATGTGTGCACATACGTCCTTTGGTGGATCTCTCCCTTTTATCCCCACCCTCCCTCTGAGGTCCAACCGCCTGACTCATGGCTCCTTGTCTCTGGCTATGTGTATTTTTAAACTATAGCCTTGCTATGACAAAGCAAGGAGCACTGTAACACAGCAGGAGTCCACCCCATCCTTCCCCCCCCCTTTCTTGTGCGATTTCCCGGGGTGCAGTGTGATTTCCCGGGGTGCAGTGCGATTTCCTGGGGTGCAGTGTGATTTCTCGGGGTGCAGTTTGTTTTCTGCTCCGTTCCTGGAGTGCCTTTGTCTCAGCCAGCCTGGGAGGGCGTGTCTCTGGCGCCCATCGGGAAAAGCAGCCTCGCTACCACATGCACGCAGGCCAGCCCCTGACTTCCTCTGGTCTACAGCGTGCTCCCTGACGCCGGGGCAGTGTGGCTCAGGAGGTGAGCGCTGACCCCGGCACTCGGAGGCCACCGGTTCGATTCCCGGTCAGGGCACAGGCCCAGGTTGCGGCCTCCATCCCCAGCAGAGGGTGTGCAGGAGGCAGCCAATGGGTGTTAGCGTATTTCTCTCTCTCTCCCTCTCCCTTACGCTTCCTCTCAATGAAAAAGACACTTTTTTTTTTTAAACGAACGGTCACCGTGATCCCTGACCGTCCACGGGCCAGCCCGAGTCCCATGCTGCTCTTAGGAGGTTCTGTGGTCAGTTTTCCTTCCTATTAGGGTTTAAGACAGATCCCTCAGTGAGCTGTTTATGTCTGTGAAACTCTGTGGAAGCACAGGCATATATGGATTCAAGCACAGTCACTCAGGAAAAAATGTGAATTCCCTTCTAGTGTTTATTCTTCAGCCTGTAGCTTTGCTAGAACCAGGGAGCGGTTTTTTAAGGTGACCAGACATCTCGCTTTTGGCGGGACAGTCCCGATTTTTAACAATTTGTCCTGCGTCCCCCCCGCGTTTTAAAAAAGTCCCAATTTGGATTTTTAACAATTTGTCCCGCATCCTGCGGCATTTGGGACTTTTTTTAAACGATGTGGGACGAGGGGCAAATTGTCAAAAATTGGGACGTCTGGTCACCTTAAGTTTTTTCCCCTTCTTCCTGTGCCCCGTTTACAGTTTTGGTGATTTGCCTCACATTTCATATATCAGGCTCCCTGTTGCGCCCTCGGGAGGGAGCCGTTAAGGCCGTGGCTGAGTCTTGCTTCTTGCCTGGGGGGCGGGGGGTGCAGGCAGCAGGGATGGAGAAAGGGGTTAGGCTTGGCAGCCCCGCCGGCCCGGCTCCTCCCCAGACTCTGGGCCCGGGGTCTGTGGGCAGGGCTCTCTGAGCACCGGCACCAGCCGGCTCCATACCGGGAAGGGCTCAGTGACGGTGGGGCTGACCAGGCTGACATTGGAGGCGGGAGGAGCAGCGGGAGCTGACCAGGGCGTCTGGAGGCAGCGTTCCTCGTCTCCAGGAGACCTTGGGGTTTGCTCTTCTGGCATCCAGTTGGTTGGGGGGAGCCCGTCCACCTACAGGGTTGTGGTCAGTTCGGGCCACCGGGTGCATGTGCCACCCATGCCCACTGTGGACTGGATCACGGGTGCTCGGGCCAAGCTGTCCCGGGAAGCTGAGCGCGCAGCAGTGCTCGCCAGGGCAGCTCCCTGTGGCATTCCTCCCGCTGCCCAGGGCCTGGCTGGCCTGTCCGCTCCGGGCCTCAGGCCCAGCACAAGCGGCCGAGTCCTCCTGGTGCTGTTTTTATCCTGAAGGTCATTGTGATGTGGTGGCCACGTCTAAACCAGCAAACTTCATTGAGACGCGATGATGGAGTCACCTGTGCTTAATGCTCAGTTCTCTTCCTGGTCAGTGGGGTCAGTTGTGGGCCCTGGAGAAGGACTTGCCTTATGCTGTGGCAACTAATCCCTTACTTGGATGCTGTTCCCAGATCGCCCACCAGAGAGTGCTATTGCAAGTAATACTTTACTAGGGTACTGTTCCCAAAGTGTCCACAAGAGGGCGCTATGGCGACTAATCCCTCAGTAGGGTACTGTTTCCAATGTGTCCACAGGAGGGTGCTAGGCGATTATTCCCTTAACAGGGTGCTGTACCCTTAGTGTCCACAAGATGGCGCTGTCATGACTAATCCCTTGCTAGGGTTCTGTTCCCAGAGTGTCCACCAGAGAGCGCTATAGTAACGAATCCTTCCTGGGGTGCTGTTCCAAGACTGTCTCCATGAGAGCACCCTCCCCGCCACCCGCCAGCAGGCCCCGTGGAGCCGCAGCCCCAGAAAGCCTTTCCGAGCCCCTGCAGAACTCCAGCCGAGCTCCGGGACCTCCTGGGCAGCTGCAGCCCGCCTGGCTCTCCGGAGGCCTCCCCGGGGGCCGCCCAGGCCGGTCCTGCACAGACACCCGCCGGCCACTTCTTCAGCGGGCCTGCCCCGGGCAGCTCAGACAGCCCCGCGGCAGCACAGGAGACCGAGCAGGAGGCTTGGGCGCCCGCTCCGGGCCCACATTGGCAGGACAGAGTGCATCGCCTCTGGGGCCTCGGCGTCCTCAGGGTCAGCGGGGCTCAGCGCTCCCCCTGAGGTTGGGGGGAGAGGTGTCCGGGGCTCCGGCCTGTAGAATCGCGAACGTCCCCTCGCCGGACAGTCCTCTGCCCGAGGAGCTGGTGCTGTCCCCACAGAAGCCACGAAGGGTCTCGTCACGTCAGGGGAAGCGGCCGGACACTCGCTGGTTCCTCTGAGGCCACGAGAGAGAACCGTCCTGTGTCTCCTCCGGCGACTGGTGGTTGTGGGGCATCTCTGGTCCCTCCTGGCTTGTGGATGCAGCACCCCAATATCTGCCTTTCCCTTCACAAGGGTGACCTGTGTCTGGGTCCAAGCCTCCCCTGTTTATAAGGACACGGGTCTTAACTGGATTAGGGACAGCACTGCGACTTGGTCACTTCTGAATTGACCCTGTCTCTAAGGCCACCTTCTGTGGTACTGGGGGGGTGAGGACCCCAACATGGGGATGTTTCAGAGACGCAGTCCAACCCATGACACCACCGCTGCCCACACCTCCGGCCTGGCTCCGGACCCCAGAGCGGTTTCTTTGCAGGGACACTGACATGGGCTTTGGAGATGGGCTTCTGGGAGACACCCTCTGATTGCTGAGACCACAGTCTCCAGCTGATCCGAGGGTGGACTGGTCTGCTCCCCTCCCCACACCCCCTGGGGGGTTGGGTGGGAGTGTGCGATTAGAGATTCCAGGTTCACTGAGTGGACCCCTCTGCTCCCCCTGCCCCTTCCATCCCAGTGAGAGAGCCCATGTTACATGTTCTTCCAGGCACCAAGCTTAACTGGAAGCAGGTGCCTACACATCAGAAACAGCTGCTAGGCCCCCAGCCTGAGCGTGCCTGGCCAGGCCGGGAGCTCCCTCACTGCACCCAGGCACTCGATACACCAGGTAACTAACCAATGGACACCACTGTGTGCAGACTCCAAGGTCAAGTGCAGTGGATGGTGGTGACCGTGACCTGCACAGACACCTGCTGGCACAGCCGGCACAGAAATCCCTGCCCTGGAATGGACGCCAGGTGGTCGTCCACCTGGTGATCTTCTGTGACCCTGCCTCACAGGGTTTGCATGGCTGCAGGGACGGCCACAGGTGGCCCGCAGGTGTCACACACCAGGCCCAGGGAGGAGAGCGAAGCCACTCACCCTCCTGCTCAATCCCTTCCCCAACTGTCATTACACCCTGCGCATGGCTGCCAACTTCAGATAGCTGTAAAAGGGGTCCTAAGATTTTTCAGAATAGAAGGCTTGATTGGATCCAGAGGAAAAAAATGTTTTAAGTCTTTTCAGCAGATTCAAAAGGCCCACTTCTTGGCACTCTTGAGTGACCCTGCTCTGTTGCTGAGCCTAGGCACACAGAACACGAGGTTCATCCTCATGGCCAGGCTCAATAAGTGGTCTCTGAAAGTCATGGTCACGCTGCTTTTCTCCCGTAATTGTTGATTCTTAAGTCTGCAGAAAGGGCCAGGGTAGGAGAGTATCCCAGTCTCCACAAGAGGGTGCTATGGCAACTGATCCCTTACTAGGGTGCTCTTCCCAGATTGCCCACCAGAGAGCGCTTTTGTGACTAATACTTTACAAGGCTGCAGTTTCCAGAGTGTCCACAAGAGGGTGCTATGGCAACTAAACCCTTATCAGGGTCTTGTTCTAAGAGAGTCCACATGAGGGTGCTATAGCGACTAATACTTCCCAGGGTGCTGTTCCAAGAGTATCCACACAAGGGCACTATGGCAACTAATCCCTGACTAGGTTGCTGTTCCAGGATTGTCCACAAGATGGTGCTTTCACGACTAATCCCTTATTAGGCTCCTGTTCCCAGTGTGCCCATAAGAGGGTGCTATGGTGACCAATCCTTGCCAGGGTACTGTTCCAAGAGAGTCCACATGAGGGCACTATAGTGACTAAGCCCTTACTAGGGTGCTGTTCCCAAAGTGTCCACAAGAGGACACTATGCCAACTAATCCCTTACTAGGGCGCTGTTCCAAGATTGTCCACAAGATGACGCTATGGCAACTTTACTATGCTGCTGTTCCGTGTGTCCACCAGATGGTGCTGTGGCAACTAATCCCTTACTTGGATGCTGTTCCCAGATCGCCCACCAAAGAATGCTATTACAACTAATACTTTACTAGGGTACTGCTCCCAAAGTGTCCACAAGAGGGTGCTATGGCAACTAATCCCTCACTAGGGTACTGCTTCAAAGAGTATTTCACAGGAGGGCGCTATGGCGATTATTCCCTTAACAGGGTGCTATACCCTTAGTGTCCACAAGTTGGAACTGTCATGACTAATCCCTTGCTAGGGTTCTGTTCCCAGAGTGTCCATCAGAGAGCGCGATAGTGACTAATCCTTCCTGGGGAGCTGTTCCAAGACTGTCCACACTAGGGCACTATGGCAAGAATCCCTTACTAGGGTGCTGTTCCCAGAGTACCCACAAGAGGGCACTATGGTGACTAATGCCTTACTAGGGACATAGTGGGTATTTTTGTGAGTCTTGGCTGTTGAAGAACTTGTCAGACCTGTCCATCAGGAAAAGAATGAATTGCCAAATTATCTATAAAGCTCCCTCTGTGATCTGCAGGTCTTTCTCCTTCCAAGTCACTAACACCTCCATGACTGGTAATGAACTCCACAGACCTGCTGGACAGGCTCCCTGACTTTGCTAGGCCTTGATTAATGGCATGTTAAGCTCATTTGTGAAAGGGGAAGATTAGTGAGTTCTGTTGCCGTGTTAGCTTGCATTTGATCTTTAAGGAAGCCTTGCTATGGAATTTATTGTTGCTGCTGCTAGTTTTTTTCTCGATTGCACACCCCACTCCCTGTTACATACAGATTGGTGGAACCGAACCAAATCAGGGGGCAGGGGGCCGAGGGGGCCCCAGCGGCCAAGGCCAGGACAGGTTGCTGCCGTCTGGTTTTAGAGTCGATGACAGAAATCCCTGCCCTGGAAGGGATACTAGGTGGTCGTCCAGCTCGCTGCTTCTGCTCTCATCCTCCTGCTTTCATTTCCTCTGTGTTCTGCACTCGCCAGATGCCAGTCGTTTTTCTCAGGCCGACAGCGATGGCCTGGACGAATGAGCTGCTTCTTAGAGTCACTCCCGTTTCCTCTTTCCTTTTTCACCTTGTTCCAGCCCAGTGGTCGGCAAACTCATTCGCCCACAGAGCCCAATACCAACAGCACACCGATTGACATTCCTTTTGAGAGCCAGATTTTTTAAAAATATTTTTTATTAATATTTTACAGAGAGGAAGGGAGAGGGGTAGAGAGTTAGAAACATCGATGAGAGAGAAACATCGATCAGCTGCCTCCTGCACACCCCCCACTGGGGATGTGCCCGCCACCAAGGCACATGCCCTTGCCCGGAATCAAACCTGGGACCTTTCAGTCCGCAGGCCGACGCTCCATCCACTGAGCCACACCGGTTTCGGCAAAAGAGCCAGATTTTTTAAACTTAAACTTCTTTTAACGTCACTTCTTCAAACACAGACTCGCCCGGGCCGTGGTGTTTTGTGGAAGAGCCACGCTCAAGGGGCCAGAGAGCCGCCTGTGGCTCGCGAGCCGCGGTTTGCCGACCACGGGCCCGGTGCCTCCGGGGTCCCTCTCGCCACGGCCCCGCTGACCAGCCCCTGTGCCTTGCTCTTGCAGGAGGCCTCCTGCGGAGAGGCGCGAAGCTGTTCTTCCGCCGGCGGCAGCAGCACAAGGAGCCCGGCCTGAGCCAGTCCCACAACGACCTGGTGCTCCTGCAGCCGCCCGAGGGGCCCCGGCGGCGCGGGGCCACGCTCTCCCGGATCCTCCACCGGAAGCTGCTGTCCCGGCACAGGAGCAAGGTGGCCGTGAACGGCGCCCCCAGCGACCCCGGCCTGTAGGCCCGGCCGCGGCCTCCTTCGCGGCAACGCCGGGCAGGCGGGCCTGCCAGCAGCCCACCGGGACCGAGTGGGATGGATGCCGGCGCGCTGGCCCGGCTGGCATTTCCCCGCCAGCGGCACCGTGTGCCTGACCTGCTGACCCCCCGATGCCGGAGGAGAGGGAGGGCCTTGCCACGGGGCTGGAGTTCATGGTCGGGAGGAGACTGACGTGGAGAACATGCTGCAGGGGGCGGCGTGGGCCTCCGTGCCACCCGCCCTCTGCTTTACGGGCATTGTTTGGGGGTCCACGCCCGCACCACGGCCCCGGAGCAGGCGGCCCTCTGTGCCGTCGGTGTGGACACTGGCTGCCTAGGTCACCTCTTCCGCTGGCCGCTGCGGACAGAGCCGTGCCGCGGGCCCCGGGGCCAGAGAGGTGGGGCCCGGAGAGCAATGACGGCGGGAACGGGAACACTACGACATGCTGCGGGAAGACGTTTGCCTTTGCCATTTAGCCATAGAACTTGAAACATGATGCAAGACCCCGATATATCCTGTGCGTATCGCGGGGACACTTTCCTAAGCGCACTCTGAGCCTGCCGGCGAGGGGGAGAGAGCACCTTCTGCGGGTCTGACCTCCCTCGGCGGGTCCGAAGCTCGCGCCCTGGGTTCTCCCCGGCCTGGCGCTCACGGAGCTGGGGCAGCCGCCTCGCCGATGCAGCAGCAGCAGGACGGGGTGCCCGCACCCACATACCCGGGTGTGCTCTCTCGTCCGGGGCTGGTTTGCCAAATATTGCCAATAGCTGAAACCAAGGACTTGCAGGGCAAAAGAGGAAATGATTTTGTGTCTCAGGTGTGAGTCTTAGGAAGGGAAAGTTAGTTAAAAAAAAAAAAAAAAACACAACGGGCCAGGCTTGCGTCAGATGCCTCTCGGGAGCGCGTCTGAATTCTGTGAACAGCCTTGGCAGACTCGGGCGGGGGGGAGGGGGGTGGGGGAGTGTTTGTGTTTCTGTTTCCAGGGGAACACACGATAAGCTCGCTATACAACGGTAATAGCCTCCGTGTCCTTCAAAGCACTTCCTGCGCCAGCAGCCGCGTGCGTCCCGTCACCGGGGACGCGCCGCCCCACTCCTGGGAGTGCCACGTGGAGGACGTGGGCTTGTACCAGGAGCTGCTGCTGGCGGGAACGGTGCTGGTGGCTTAATTAGACACACACACACACACACACACACACACACACCCACGAGGTGTCAGCTTTTGTCACGGAGGTGCATTGGGGTCTCTGGGCAGACACCTCTGTCCGCCCTCAAACATCCGTTTCAGGGGTTTAAAACCTTTCTAAAACCAAAATCCTAGCATCCTTCCCTCCCTCCGTGTGGAGGGAGGAATCGGGAGGTCACTTTATAAAATGCGCATTCGCAAATTCCTCCATCCCAGGAATCCAGGGGCTGGCAAGTGACTTTTTTTTTTTTTTTTAACCAGACTTTGTAAAGATTCTATTCCCGTTTTCATCACTGTAAAAACCACCTGGCACCTCAAAATGTATGAATGCCACGCGCGTCCCCGCAGGTCAGCGGTCACTACATGTGGCTTCCACGGTGTGCTCTGCGGGAAGGATCTCTGTTGCTCCTCGTGGTGGCGGACATGTCACAGGCACGGGTTAATGATAAAGGGGCCGGAGTGTCAGAATGTAGGGCGCCAGGCCGAGGGTCTTAGTCCATCCAGCTCCGTGTTTGTGTAAGTTTGAAATCCAGACGGACTCAGTCGGCTCCGATGGGAAGCTATCAGAGTGTCAGGCTGAGTTTTTCTCGCTCTCAAATAAACCACCACCAAACCACACCCTGTGAGCCGTGGCCGCGCCCAGATGGGCCCGGGAGCGCCCCGTCTGCTTTTCCTACCTTCGCCACGGGCTCTGCGCTCTCCCTCCCTCCTGACTCAAACTCTCTCCGGCTCCTGGGAACCAGCCCGCTCCATCTCGCCCTCACGCGTGAAGCCAGGGCGTGGACACGGACAGAGGGAGCGTCGCCATGGAGACCGTGTTTCTCCGTGACTGTTGGCGACACGGGAGACCCTGTCCACCGGAGCTGGGTCCAGGGGCCCGTCCTTCAGGCGCCCCCCCCGGGGGGACCACCCTGGCCTTCCCTGGGGTCCGAGGACGTAGACGGAGCGGGAAGAGGAGGGGAAGGTGACAGGAGAGCCCGAGGGACAGGCCCTGTCGATACTGTGAATGCTCCCTTCCCCGGCAGAGCATCCCGGTTTGTTTTTTTAAAGGTGTCGGGCGTTGATGCTAAAGTCGCTGTCATTGAGGTGAAATGTGGTTACACACCGGACACAGAGCACACGGGTTCGTGAGTCACCGGGCGTCCCCTCACCCTTTCCGCACGCTTTCTGGCCTGAGGGCCGTGCTCTGGGTTTGGTCTCGGTGACATTTTTCCAGAGTGGCCTCGTAAAAGCAGCTCCTCGCGAGCTACTGGGCCAGGGGCACACGCTGCTTTTAACTAAGGCGACCAGACATCCCGCTTCTGGTGGGGTGGGACGCCTGGTCACCTTGGTTCTAGCACACGGACCCCGCCCCCTGCGCTGTGGCCTCTGGGGAGGAGGGAGATGGCGCTGGAGCAGCTTGAATGGGGCGTTGACGCAAGTGTCCCGTTCAGGCCAGCGGTGAGGAAGGTGTAGGCAGAGCAGCTCCAGCTGAAGTTCAAAGCCAGGCCCGGGCTCCTGAGCCAGTCCCCCGTTAGAAGCTGCCCGGGCTTGTGATCAGGGCTTCCGGCCACATGGGTGGCAGAGTCGCCAGTCTTCCCGAGCAGGAGAGGGGGGAGAGTTTGCACTGCTCCCCCCCTTCCTCCCCGCCATCCACTGTTCCCTGAGTGATCACCTCTTGGCCCTGGGGACCTCACAGGACAAGCTGGGCGGTGAGGGTGGGGGGACATCGGGGGTCAGGACGCTTACCTCTGCCAGGTGGCAAGCAGGCCCGATGCCACTGCCCACGCCGCCCAGGCGCCCGTGATCACCAAAGCCAGCGGCACGGGCCCAGCCCCGCTGAGACCCGCCCTGCGTTCTCAGGCCCCGGGTTCCTTTCCTGAGCACCCCTCCTTTCCCGGCCCCCCAGCTCCCCCTCAGGGGGAAAGTGTCCTTCTCTGTGCCCGATGTCACCCTGCAGCTACATTTAAGACAGAAGAAGCCAAAGGTTTCCAGCGTGCGGGCAGGGCCGGCTGGAGATCTCGATGGTCCATTTCCGTGACGGTGACTGTACTCCTGGGGGCACGTCAGAACCCGGGCCAGCCCCGGGCCAGCCCCGGCAGCGGGCTCCTTGGGAGCAGCTGTGGCTGGGACACGCGTGCCCGTTAAAGGAATAAACGTGCGCCTGGAACACGGGTCCGAGTGGTTTCTGCCGAGGCCCGTGCTCCCGTGTTCCTCTGAGTGGCTCACACCCGGGCCTCATCAGTGACCACACGCGACCAGACGGTCAGCTGGCGGGGGGGGGGGGTGCGGAAGGGGGGATTCCTCCTGCTGGGCTCCGCGGAGGACCTTCCTCCCAGCATTCTTGCACGGTTTTAAGTCCCTTTGCACCTTGTGGGTCCGGGGCTGAGCCGCTCACTGGGAAGGAAATGTTCACCGTGAGCTCTCACCCCGGTGAATTGTGGGTGCCCCGTGGCCTGGTCCCCCAGCAGCGAAACCCGGCCCAGGGTGGCTGTGGGACCCAGGCGATCGCCCGAGACCCGAGGGGAGTCGGCCCCTTGGAAGGGAGCTGTCGTCCATGCATTGACCCCCGTGGAGCCTGGACCATGGGCGAGAGTGCGTGTGGGGGGGAAAGGCGGAGGGGGAGGGCAGTTCCCGGGCAGGGCAGAGCAGGTGGGGGGTGAGGGGCATTGCAGACGCCAACAGGGGTGTCCCCGTAGCCCCTGCAGGCTGCCCCGTCCAGGTCCTCAGTTCCTCTGTCCTGCAGCCGCACCTCCTGCCGTGCCCAAACGCGGAGCCTTCGGGCGGGAGGGCCGGTGCCCCGGGGGCTCCTCCAGCCCCTCGCCCACCCCCTCCTCTCAGCCTTCCTGACCCTGCCCGCCCCGGGCAGACCCACAGCTTTGCGTTGGGGTAAGAGCAGGCCTATGGGGAGTCCCAGCTGTCGGGGGGGCTCGGATTTTGGACTCGAGGCGGGAACGTGGCGACGGCCCTGTGTCTTGTTTGGGACTGAGGTTCGGGGCTGTGGGGGGAACCGCTGCTTCCTGGGTGGGAGGCTCCCAGAGGAGACGAGTTGGCATGTCCTCCTGTCCACCAGCGTCCTCCCCTGACCTCCCGCCACCTCCGGGGACACCGCGTCCTCGCTAATGCTGTCTGCAGCGCCCCGTCTACTCCAGCTGTGCTCCGGACTCTCCCCTCGCTTCCTGATGTTTCTCACAGACTCCAGCCCTCCCTGCCCTCCCCACAGAGCGGCCTCGGCCACCCAGCGCGACCTGGGTGCTTCTGTCCGCCCCGGACCGCCCTCCCCTGTGCTCGCTGCCCCGCGATGTCAGCTGACGGCACCACGTAAGCGCACTCAGCTCACACCCATCCTTCTCCGCGCGTGGGGCCAGGTCAGGGGACAGAGCCCGACACGCAGGGGGACGCACACGTAACAAAAACATGCTGTTGTGGACCTCGGTCACGGTAGACGCACAGGGTGCTGTGTGTGTCAATAAGTCACACAGCACCCTGTGCGTGTATCGTTTAAAAGAAAAGGTGGATCGCTCACCACGGGGCTGGATGCAGATGGAGGACAAGTGCAGTGCCCTCCCTGATGAGAAAGTGCCGGCCAACCCTCTTTTTTTTTTTTTTTTTTTTTAATATATTTTATTGATTTTGTACAGAGAGGAAGGGAGAGAGATAGAGAGTTAGAAACATCGATGAGAGAGAGTCACCGATCAGCTGCTTCTTGCACACCCCCTACTGGGGATATGCCCGCAACCAAGGTACATGCCCTTACAGGAATCGAACCCGGGACCCTTCAGTCCCCAAGCCGACGCTCTATCCATTGAGCCAAACCGGTTTCG